GCCATGTGTATCAAGAAGAAAAGAAGAAAAGGGGGGAGTAACTGGTTGGGGTCTGTCAGAGTCACTGTAAACCTCCTGAACCACCTCTCGTCCTCTAATAAGATTGAGCACCAAGCTGAGCTGAACAACTGCCAGATGCTGAGACATGCCTTGAATGGAGAGAATGGGGGGGGGGGGGGGCGTTCAAAGGAAGGAAGGTAAAAACATTGTTGCACCTCCCTGCTCTGCTGTCAATTTTGCTCAAGGAGACTCAAAGAGCCCTTGTCAGGTAAATCAAGTGTGACTTTTATTTCTCGGGTGATAGACGCCTGTTGTGGCTGCTAGGACGTCCTGGCGGTGGGTATAATAATCTGAGGATGTTGGGTGGGAAAAGGCTCACATAAAATGGCATATACACCACAGAGCCTTTTTGGTCTGTACAAAATACATTTTCATTGAAGCGACACTTTCAGTTTAGGGTGTGCCACAGCACTAAAAAATGAAGGAGAGTTTTTCTTGTCCAAACACAGTATATTTATTAATCATTCCCCCTTTTAATGCTAATCAATCAATCAATCAAATTTTATTTATATAGCGCCATCAGTCGTCACCTCAAGACGCTTTTCAAAGAACAAGAGCAGGTCTAGACCATGCTCATTGTTTGATAATCAAGAACCAACCTAAGATGGGTTTTGGCCCATCTCAACTAACATGAGTAGCAGTGGCAAGGAAAAACTTCCTTTTAACAGGCAGAAACCTTGGGCAGGACCAGCCTCATGTTAGACAGCCACCATGCCGCTGCTGGGTTGGGGAGGAATGTAGAGAGATGGAGGGAGAGAGAGGAGAGAGAAAGAGAGAAGAGAAGAGGGGAGAGGGCAGGGGGAGAGAGAGAGAACAAGAGAGGGAGAGAATGAGTAAGGGGGGGGGGAGTAGAGAACGAGGGTGAGAGAGAGACAGGGGACAGCAGAAACAACAGCAACAACAACAGCTCATGTAATGGTGAAACAAAATGAGTTCAGTTTACAGGGTTCGGATATGAGTGGTTATGGACAATGTTAAATTAATTAAATGTGATTATAGTCAGCAGGCCTAGTCGTAGTCAGCTCTAGTTTTATGTTATTAAGACAATTTATTCACAACGCACTGATTTAATGCTCCTCTATTATTTTCAGTGCTATGGAAAACATCTGTATTTTTATTAAGTAACCATACCCTAAACACATTTCCATTGCATTCTCTCATTAAAATGCATTGATGAGAACTGAAATAGTTGTGGTCTTTTCACAGGAAACAAGTGGCATCAATTGCAGAAGGGCAGCAGTCCTCAAAGTACTTTGCATTTACTTTGGCAAAGATGATTCACATCTCATCCAGGAGTACACGGGGGATTATTGTCACAGCACTTGCCCTTGACATGTTTGTTGTATTAAGGTAAGAGTTTCTACAAGAAACACGAGTGAACAGAACTTAGACTTTGTCTTACAGAAGTCAGACACCAATGCCATGTGACATTAAACAACATAATGCTCAAACTAAACTGTAAACAAAGATACCATTGGACAAACTTTTAGGCCCAACATAAGTGGTTTTAATATGCATACTTCAGGTCATTGAGCTTTATTGTTCTTGTATTTTGTTATAGAGAAAAAAGATGTATAGAAATACAGACTAAGTTTACACATAAAGAAGCCAGATTTACATATATATATTTATATGTATGGGTGGACAGACAGGACGTTTTGATGACATTGGTGTTCATGTAGGATTATAGGATCTCAAGCACAGGCCTGTGCAATGATGCTGGGAGTCATTTACGCCCTGAACATGGCATACCCAAAAGAGCTCAGACACTGCTACAGTATGAGTTCATTCAGAAGGTACTGATGCAAATGGATGGTGAAAGGCTTTCCCCCAGAGTTCTTGGACCTAAGAAAAAAATCTTTGCTGGAATCTGAGACTTCCTCAGCCACACCCCGGACCTTGCTAAGCTGCAGGTATGTCTGACTTGAGGATTTGAGGAACATTTTATGCAGCTCCAGAAAATCTTGTAAAGGACCCCATTAGTGCCAGACTCGAAACAATTTTCTCTGTTTTCTATGTAGCATCTCAATTTAGGGAAGCTTATATTATGTTAGTTATTAAAGTAGGGATGCATGATATTGAATTTTTGCCGATATCCGATATGCCAATATTTTTTCATTCATTATCACCGATACCAATATGGACCAGGGGAAATGGGCCAGCAACCACTGCACAGAAGACTGCAGCCTTGAAGCATGGGGTGCTGAGACTGCTAGGCCTGACACCACCGAGTGATGACTGCTATGTAAACTTTAAACTAATCTCATTCATACACTGGGCACAGCCATTCCTTTTTTTTCTGGTCCAACGCATTTTGAGAGTTATTTACATTTGCTGGCTAATCAGTCCTTCTTTCAATCTCGTCATGGACTTTAACAATTATTTTTACTGACCATTAATGTAATTGTCTTTTAAACTTGTAATAAACCATTAAAGTTGTCACAGTTCCTGTTCTGTGGCCTCTGTGTGTCTGTAAGTGTGTGTTTTTGGTTATTTTCAGATTTTTTTGTGTGAGTGAGGAGTGCCTGGTGTATTTCTGTTTTCCCCTCCCCCTCCCCGCTCTGTCTCGTTCACTCTCTGCACACCTGAACTGGATCTGCAATCAATACTCCTGCCAGCTATCATCCAGTCACCACTGCCTACAAAATTCCTGCACTGACTGTTCAATCTCTGCTAGATTGTCTGTATACCATGTCCAGCTTTAATTTGAAAATTTAGCTAAGATTTTGACAGTTTATTTTTTTCCTTCACACACTTGACACATGTTTTCCCTGTCTCCAGGACTTACTTTTATCTAGCTCTACCACCTCCTCCTCAGGCCGACCTGCTCACCACTGCCAGGACCTCTTCCTCTGAACAACCTCTTCATCTATCCTGCTACTCTGCTTTTGGGTTCAGCCATAAATCATGACAAAAGTATTTTCTCTTACCTCATCTCAAGTGCAGCTAGTTGTGTCGAAATGTTTCCTTTCCTGTCAAAGCCAAGGGCCATTATGTATTTAACTTTGTTATTTTAAAAGAGGTGAGTGTTTCATGATGCTGAACATTATTTTGTCACACAGCACAGTAAGTGGAAAAGGTTATGAAGGAAAAACTACCAATTAAATAGTGGACAACAATGATTTACTCCCGATTTATTTAACGATAATGGACAGGTCATGATTTTTCCCTTTCTCTGAAACATCAAGAAGCAGACAAAAATGCCAACATTGTGTCCTCTGAAGTGTTTGTATATTTTGAGCGGACAATTTTCTTTTAGGTCAATAATGTCACAGAGCTGACCTGATGCTCATTACAGGTCTGTATTTCTTTTTATCTGTGCTGTGATGGCTGTGAGAGTATCAGAGTGATTGCTGGGTGGCCTTGATCATACGGTACTTCATGTAGCAGCTCACTGAAAAATGACATGACTGTAGTGGAGATTACTGCATAACAGACAGCTAAACATGTCTTCCAGTAACTACTGTCTATGAACAAAGGGTATAGAAACAATAGAAACATGATCCAGACACAATTTCTCCCTGGCCCAAGGCCGTTGATCATTGACTTAGACCAGAGGTGTCAAAGTCAAATGGACGGAGGGCCAAATAAAAAATTTAGCTACAAGCCGAGGGCCGGACTGATCAAATGTTCATTTAAAATTTTTTAAATGACGCATATAGTCTAGTGAACCTAATTGAACCTACTGAAAACCTAACAAATATATTCCAATATGATCAGATAAATAAAGCAATATTTTCTTATGGCTCTGTCAGTAATCTTTAATTTTCAACAGACACAAAAGACAAATTTCCTTTATATAAAAATCCCCATAACATGAACATTAAATGAAAGAAACCGGTATTATTCATATTCGGTATTCATTTGTTTTTGTCCGCGTGTTTCGTTTTATAATGTCGTCTCAGATAACACTCTTTCAGTACCGCCACACTTTCTCCACACAGAAGACACACAGGTTTTCCAGCTACCTCCGTGAACATATACTCCAACTCCCACCTTGTTTGAAACCCCCGGTTCTCAGTGTCCACCTTCCGTTTTGGTATCTGAAAGTTAATTTTACTGTTATGCTGACGACTGCTGTGCTAATAAATATTGAAATGAAGCAGCCTACTGCTCGGTGCGTCACCGTTGCATTGTGGGAAATGTAGTATTGGTGCGTGTAAAAGATCTGCGGGCTGCCGGCTTGCTGCGGTCTGCGGGCCGGTTTTAATAATAAATCAAGATCATCCCAGGGGCCGTAAAAAACCTTCTCGCGGGCCGGATGTGGCCCGCGGGCCTTGACTCTGACATATGTGACTTAGACAGTCTTTTTGGAAATCAAGGATCATACTCATTCTCTGCTTCAAGAAGTAGAGGGCTCATTCAGCTTGTTATCTTCACACATTTTAAAAGCCAAAATCTTTGATGGTATGCACACAGCTAGATGGCTAGATTACACATTTTGGAGGGCTCCATTAACACTGAACAATAGATACATGTTTCAGAGCAAAACATGCTGCCATCCAGATAAAGCATTTTTAGGAGAGACCTAGCATGTTTCAACAGTTACAGTCGAAACATAGATACAGCGCATGCGTCGGCGTTGTATGGCACCTAGCCATTTCTCTCTCCTGTGACCAACTTTTTAACCCATTTTAACTGGTTTTAAACAACTTTTTAAGACTGCATTTTAAGAGTTTGCTGGCTTTTAAGTTGAGCTTTTACCGTGTATGGGTTTTTTATTTTATCTTATTTTATTTTATGTCATAGCAGAGAAAAACAGTGCAAGTTCCCGCAAGTCGCCGTTTTTATTTGGTTTTAAAAAGTTCTGATCGCTTTTAACATTTTGTTCCTTGAGCAAAGGATTATTTTTATCTTTTTGCTTTTACTGGACAAAAGGTTTTAGTCATCAGACTCTCGGATTTGCTTTGCACTCTTCCTGAGTCAGCTACATGGCGACGATGGAGGCTCAGCAGCTTCCTTACCTGCTGAAGTTGGTCAACAACTTAAAAGAGCCCAGAAAAAGATCGCAGATCTTCTGTAGGACATTGGTCGACTCACAGATGAGCTGCAGAGGAAGGACTCACTCCTTCAAATCTCGGCTCCCGGCGTTGTCCAGCTGGTTGGAGAGCACACAGACCAGCAAGCTGCCACAGCATAGCGTTGCCACTGCAATGAGGGACACCATCATCTGGGCGCCTTCCTCCTCCACTTGTCAGTGGCCCTCCAGCTCTACTCCCAACAAAGGGGCCCCCTGGTCTGAGGTAGTGGTCCTCAGTCAGAAGAAGGCTCCTAGTTGGGCTCCATGTGGGGTTTCCTCCTCCGTCTGCATCCCCCTCTCCAACAAATATTCAGCTCTATACATGAGTGCTCTATCCATGAGAGCCACTGGACCAGGGCCCTGCTGATCCCAAGGCCTCTCCGAAGGATGCTGCTCCCCAGCTGACAGACACCACAGCTTTCCCTCCACTCATGGCTGCCTGTGCCCCACCAGATCGACGTCCAGCACCGGGCCATCCAGCGCCGTGCCACTCGCCTCTGTCCCCCTGTCCCTCAACCCAGCGGAGGCGGCACCTCAAGGACGCGGTGCGATGGCAGACTGGACGTCCTCATCCCCGGGCGCTTGACAGGGAGGACGGGTCCACCAAGCCAGCCGCCCCCCTCAGGCAACAGGCCACGACACTAGTCATCGGGGACTCCATCATCCGGAACATCTGTCTGAGGGGAGTGTTCACCCTGTCTTTTCCCGGCGCCACTGTTGCAGACATAACTGAGAAAATCCCAAGCGTCCTGAATTCACATCCACAGGTAAACAGGGTTGTCATACATGTGGGCACCAATGACACCTCCAGACCGAGCTTTTAAAGCGTGATTCCGCACAGCTTTTAACAAACTCTCACGGCCCCAACTGCGCGTTTTTATCTCCAGCCCCACCCCCACCTGTGGCAGAGCCGAGAGGCCCAGAGATCTGAAGTATCTAACGGCGCTGACACTGTCCTGAAGCTGAGATCCAGACACGGCGGAAGAACTCCCCGCCGAACCTTCAGTATCCGGTCCGGTAGCCCAGAACTTCAGCTGATCCATTCCAAGAGTGCCGCTGAGAACCGACATCCAAAGTAGGCAAACTCCTCGAAACTGCTGTGATGACAACTGGGTGATGCCGTCGACCGTTCAGTAGCTTACTCTCATAAGTTATAGTTTAGTCCTCTCAATTCCTTTTAAATTTACCCTCGTAACTCCGTGAACGTAGGTTAAATTTTCCCTTATTCACTCACTATCATTAACCTCCAGTCTTAGGTTTAATTTAAACCATTCCTTCCTTTATTCATTAGATGTGCTTTGATTTTCTCATTATTTGTTCATCATTTATTGACGTTTTGTTATCATATAGCTTGTTAATAAATTGTCCATTTAATTTTAAATTGTCGTCTATTAGAAGTCTTTCCAGAAAGTAGTCCCTGAATGAAGAATTCCGGCCTCAGATGAGAGACTGATTTAAATCTGTTTAAGACTGATTCAACGTTTAATTACTCAATTGAACTTTGTTTCGTCCTTTTCCCTCCAGAAAGGTGGGTGGTGCCCCTTCAACGAGTGCATAAATGTCATAATTTAATTTGATTAATTTTCGACATTTATTTTGAAATTCAAATCGCTACACCAGCATTTTACTACTGATGTCTATTGATCAGAGTCTTAGCAGGCAAAAGAGGCGGCTCTGCTCCTTGCTGTAGATGAAGTCTATTTTCTTAGACCAGTCCAACTTATGAACCAGATGAACACCTAGATATTCATATGTTTGTGACTAGAATAAAACTAAAGATTTTTTTTCTGTCTCTAAAAGCTCTCTAGCATCAAGTAAGAAGCAACTTTGACTTGAGATTTAATATTTTCAAAGCTGAGAAATTAACTTTCTTCAAAAAATAATAAACTATACTTCACAAAGACAGGGTTTTTTCCATTTATTTAGGACCTTGGAAGTTATTATGAGAATATTAAACCAATCAATTTAGATTTTAATGGAATACAATGCAGCACATAAAATGGAAAATACAAAGTCTACTTTGCTTCTTTAAAAGTCCTCTTTCACTCCAATAAAATTCAGCTGTTCTGCCTGCCATGTTTTCCAGCTTTCAAGTATAGATGTGAACGACAGGAACTCCACTGGCAGGCTGTTTGAAATTGATTTGGCACCATCAGAGCATCATAATGATGGAGGCTTAGGATCCTTTTAGATCAAGACTCCACATGCTTATGCTGTAAGTAAGGATCCTTTGGAGGTTTCAAGCACAGGATGTCTAAAGGACTCAGTTTGTTCTTGCACTGGACAGGAAGTTCGAGTGCTGCAGTCTTTTTAGCCTGTTTTAGTTATTAGCAGTTGTTTTCTGCCTGGAGAGCTGCTTCAGCCTCTCATAAAAAAAAGAATATATATATATATATATATATGTCTGTGTGTGTATGTGTGTGTGTGTATTTTGTGCTTTGTGAATGAAGTTGGTAAACTCATGTGTTGCTATTAAAATAAAATAAAAAAACTTTTTCTCTCATCAAATAGCCAGAGAAGCCCTCTCCAGGTAAAATCTGACTACATTTGCTCTACTTGACCTCATTTTATTTTACGTCACTAAAACATGTGCCCCTTGAAGCAGTAAACATCATTACCCCCCCCCCCCCCCCTCCCCCCCTCCTTTGGTGAAGACAAGGAATACAAAAAGGACAAATGAAACAGGACACAGGTCTCTGAGGGATTGTCTGCCCAGGTCCCCAGCTGGAACACCCAAAGAGCTTAAAGTGATATAAATGTCCCTGAATGACAGCATAAGTCTGTATGATGACTAATAACCTCTTTGAAGCTGCACCGCAGCAAATAGGGTACCATTTCTGTATTTTAAAAAGGCAGGGAGACTTTAAAAAAAAGCATCCTTGACAATGCCACTGCAGCAGCTGTCGTCATGTTGAAACTGCAGGAGAGTGAGTGGGTGAGGTGGTAATCTAAATAAGTGTCACGCCTACTTGCTTTTATATTACCTTAGAACAATACCCTCTGTGACAAGCCATCCAAGAGAAAAAAGAAAATACTAAAGAAACAAATTAATATACAGATTTTTTTTCTTCTAAACTCTATTCAACACATGGTTTAATTCATCACAATTCAGTGTGCAGCTGCCAGCATAATGCATAAACTTTGCATGTTGCAGAGTAGCAAAAATTGAAAAAGACTTCTGAAGCAATGAGCAATTTCCCTGTAGAAGAATAGGAGATTTTTTGGGGCCGTTGGTGGCTGACCTGTCATCAATCACTTCATAGCAGTACCAGCTTAAAGGCTGGTAGGAGGCTGGGAGATGCAGGCAAACACCCAGAGGTTGTTGACAGGTAATACCCAGCCAGCTGACAACCTAAAGGCACAGAGCTGGGAGCTGTTATGGGAAGAGAATGTATCAGAAGTTGTCAAATCAAAGATACCAGGTGTGATAACTGTAGATAACACTGAACATAGGAGAAGTTAGTTATTTAAAAAAGTGTTCAGATTGTATAAGTCCACAAGCCTGCAGCATAGTTTGTAAACAACCTCAGACACAATGTTTTTCTTTTCTTGTATAAAGTGGAAAGGTTCAAGTACTTTCTCGTCAGCTTCAGTTGTGCATATGAGGAAAAAAAGTCGAATTCACAAAGCATGCACAGATAAGTACAGGTCAGATAAGCTATAATCTGTTGTTTGCAAACATTTCACAGAGCCATTGTGCATTAATAAGAATTTTTTTTTTTTTTTTTGCAAATGAACCTAAAGCAGAAAGTGTAATTCACGTTCATTGGCACAAACAGCCACATTCAGCTGGAATAGTACCCACACTGTAGTACCATTTCTGTGGAATGTCATGCTCAAGCCACCCAGTTATGACAATAATTCTACCTCTCGATGACATGAAAATATTACACATGCAAACCAGTATGATTGTATTACTTGATATTAACTTGGTTGACAATCAGGGGTTCAATCAGCCTGCGGCTGTCTGTGGTGATGGTCTAGCCCTGTTATTTTTTTCAGCTGAACAATTTCCTTTTGCTTGTACCCTCCAAGAAGCAAGCAAGATATAACATGAGTAGTTTGTTTGACTCTACAATACACCGGTAAGAAGTTTCCCCAACCCACCCATGACAGCATCTGCCTATGGACAGATTTATGCTCTGTCAGCATAGCTTTGCACACCAAAGAGTGGAGGTACTGTTGGCTGTGGTGTCTACTTCTAAAAAGCTGTTGCATCTTTCAGTAAAAAATGTGACTATAAATGCTCGTCAGCAAAAAAAATCTGTATTAAAAGCATTTAACACTGATTTATTTGGAGAGCCCGGAACTACACTTGTGGTTAACGATGGTCCATTCGCTGACAGAGAAAACAACCAGAGGTAAACAGCAAAGAATATATATATATATACAGTTGGGAGTAACTTTAAGTTTTTGTTCACAATGCTTTTTTAAAAATCCTGCATGAGTTTTATGTATTTTGGGATGTATTTACTCCATGATCAGACGTTGCTTTCATGGAAAAGCACCATTTTACTCCATTTACCTTTAGATATACATTGATGTTAACAGACCATTGCTAAATATATGTCAGCAAAAGATAATAAGGGGATAGTTTTAGGGTTGAAAACATTTGCAAGAGTCACAACTTCAGTGCAAAAGCAAAAAAAAAAAAAAAAAAAATCACAGTTGGATTATTCACTTGAACTTTTTGGCTTTTTAGAGTCTGCATACAAAAATCCTAATAAATCTCAACTGTGTTCAAACTACTGCAAAAATGGCTAGAAAGAAGCAACTGAGTAAAGAAAAAAAAAGTACAGATTTGTACATTGAGGAAAGAAGGATACACAGAAAGAGAAATTGCAAAACGCCTAAAGGTGTTTAACAAAGGAGTCCACTACGCTCTGAAGATATATATATATATATATATATATATATATGTATATATGTACATATATGTACAACATACATATATATATATATATACATACATATACACTCACCGGCCACTTTATTAGGTACACCATGCTAGTAACGGGTTGGACCCCCTTTTGCCTTCAGAACTGCCTCAATTCTTCGTGGCATAGATTCAACAAGGTGCTGGAAGCATTCCTCAGACAGCTTGGTCCATATTGACATGATGGCATCGCACAGTTGCCGCAGATTTGTCGGCTGCACATCCATGATGCGAATCTCCCGTTCCACCACATCCCAAAGATGCTCTATTGGATTGAGATCTGGTGACTGTGGAGGCCATTTGAGTACAGTGAACTCATTGTCATGTTCAAGAAACCAGTCTGAGATGATTCCAGCTTTATGACATGGCGCATTATCCTGCTGAAAGTAGCCATCAGAAGTTGGGTACATTGTGGTCATAAACGGATGGACATGGTCAGCAACAATACTCAGGTAGGCTGTGGCGTTGCAACGATGCTCAATTGGTACCAAGGGGCCCAAAGAGTGCCAAGAAAATATTCCCCACACCATGACACCACCACCACCAGCCTGAACCGTTGATACAAGGCAGGATGGATCCATGCTTTCATGTTGTTGACGCCAAATTCTGACCCTACCATCCGAATGTCGCAGCAGAAATCGAGACTCATCAGACCAGGCAAAGTTTTTCCAATCTTCTATTGTCCAATTTCGATGAGCTTGTGCAAATTGTAGCCTCAGTTTCCTGTTCTTAGCTGAAAGGAGTGGCACCCGGTGTGGTCTTCTGCTGCTGTAGCCCATCTGCCTCAAAGTTCGACGTACTGTGCGTTCAGAGATGCTCTTCTGCCTACCTTGGTTGTAACGGGTGGTTATTTGAGTCACTGTTGCCTTTCTATCAGCTCGAACCAGT